ATACATATAGAATTACATAAGTCATACTCATTTTGAAACAAGTCAAAAATTGGTGGAGTGTAAACTTGAGAAAGTTGTTAAAGTATAGGTGACTCTTCAAAATCAACCTCGACAACTTCTGGCATGCATCAAAATCACTCTTTAATTCATTATATTGCTTATCCACAACAACCTATTCAAAGACTTTGAAAAATTGATTGATATTCAACTTAGGATTTGTATAGCTTTTTATAAATGAATTGATACTTTCACTAAGTTGTGTGCTTCTCATACCAAGAGTCATGGAGTCCTTCATTTAACATACTACCTATTTTGCTTTTAACTTATAAATAGACATCAACCATGGATTATCAACTACATTGTATTTTGATAATAGTGCTTTCTAAGATTCCTCAAATGTTGCTTCTTCATTGCATTGATACATGCACCAATTAAACTCACTCAAAAAATGAGAGTCATCTTTCATTAAGTTTCTAAGATGTTTCAACCCATTTCTATTGATATGAAATGTGCACAAGCCATGCTTTACATTTGGCATTTCCTGTTCCAAGGCTTGTGCCATTGCAGTATCTTGATCAGTAAACATAATAAATGACATTTTTTGCTTATGTGCTTGCAAAAAAGTTTCAAGAAGCCATTTAGAAATTAGAATGTTAAATATCATCTAAGTTATGTTAAGGAAATAATAAATAATTGATTTTAGGTTGTGATTTGCTTGTTAGGAAGTTAATGACACAATTGGAATTAAGGTGAGAAGTTGAAGTGAACAAGCTTTAAAATTTTTGAGAAACTCTCAGGTGAGTGGGTGCTATTTTGAATATATTTTCAGTAAAGTATTTATAAAAATTTCTTTATTTAAATATTATTATTTCTTTATAAATTATTTACATATTCTTGTTAATCTTATTTTCATATTAATAGTATTATTTCTCATAAGCAATTTAATTACTTAATACCATGTTGATATAACATTTTTATTGCAATGATTTGTGTATGAAAGAATGATGAATTTTGGGTATGGAAAATTATAGTTGAATAATATTTGAAAGTGAGAATTTTGAAACTATTTTCTTTCTTCATACACACTTGATTTTAATGAGGGAGACTGAGTTCAAAACGCTGGATACTAACGACAATCTATTAGCCATTGACGTTCCATGGTACATCTAACTAATAGGGTGGTTATAGGAGGTGCTAATCTCGTGCGCAAGCCAATGCACGTGGGATAGAGGGATGATTATTCGTAAGCATCGTACTCATGGTTGTTTTCATGAGCTTCATGCTTGCACTTAATTTGTGTGTTCTTACTGCACTTGTTGCGTGGTTTTTAGTTGCACTTGATTGGTTACTTACCTTTATAATTGTGTGTCCACGCTTGGTTAGTTACACTGTGGACTATGTGTCCACGCTTACTATTCATTCTGATAAAGCCCTCTTAGATCTAAACTAAAATTCATTATTTTTATATTATTTCTTTAAAAGCATTCTACCTACCATTGCTTGAAATTTGTATATTCTATGAACATTATAAATTTTGATAAATTACTTTGTCTATTAACATTGTTCAAATTCATGATTGTATCATTAAAAAAACTTGTTGTCTATTATTAGTTTAAGTTCATGTTTTATTATTTCAAAATTTTTAAATTAAATTTATTTGTCAATGTGTTCATATATTTATATACATGTATCTAATTGAAATGCTATTCATCAGTAATTTCTTTGGTCTCAGATAGTGTAGCTGACTCTATGCCTTTAGCAGCTCATTGAGAGGCCTTTTGCTTTTTGGGAAAAGAGGAGGCATATTGCGATTATTATTTTAATAAAACTATGTATTGTATTTTGTAATTATAACTTAGTGCTCCACGTACACCATAGTTAGGTCCTAGTCTTATTTGGTTATTATGTAAATTGCTGGAATGGAGCTTGTCTCCTTGCTAGGTTGTTGACAAGTTCTGTTATTGGTTGTGAAAATTTTGAGAGGTTTAAATTATAGGGAAGGCTCTACTGAATTTTTAAAATATTTAAAACTTTACAAACTTTATTACTATATTTAACTTACATATATCGATATTTTAACTTAGTTTCTGATCAATCAAGACTTAAAAGATATGAGTTTACCTCATATTTTATACCAATCACACCCTTAGTATTGGGGTGTGACAAACAGCAAAAAATTTATCTTGTTATAAAATTGCACATATTTCATTTGTAACATGCTAGTAATATTTTGTTGTTTGAATAAGTACTGAAAATTTTATTTAAAAAAATAAAGAAGAGTATAAAAAAAATAATCAAAGTAGAAAACATAATTTATATGACTGCTATCAATGATAGCTTTTAGATTATTTAATATAAAAGGCTAGTTTAATTGATAAAGAATAATAAAATTATAATTTTCTCTTAAATTGTATTACCCTTGAACAAGGAAAACAATGTCACTCCATTGAAAAAAATGAGAGCATCTTCTTGAGTACTAAAAGTAAAAGTTATAATTTTATCCTTTCTTAAATTGTGTTAAAAAATAATGAAAAATATATTTTTTTCTATGTCATGTACCATGTGTATTCGATTAATATAATATAACAATAACTATATTAATAAAATAATAATTAATTAATGGTTAGGGGTTTTGAAAAAATAAAATTAAAGTTAGGAGAGTTAATTTTAAATGTTGAAAGTAATAGGGTCCTGTTTTAAAGTTTAAAGGACTTGTATGCATTTTAATCATAAAAATATGTACTGGATCTAATATTTCTTCTTTTTTTAATCAATCTCAAGCTACTAACGGACATGGAATGATCCAAACTTGGGCCCACGAAGGAAAAAGATCTAAAATGTTCAGGGCATGAGTTAAGTTTTTTGAGCTACCTTCTAGACTAGTATAATGGGCCCTCATATTAAATCATTAGAATTTAATTTTTTTTTATAAGCCTAAAAGATAAGCTTCACTCATAGCAAAGAATATATTTTATAGGATACAAAGAGCAATGTATAAACCCCTCCCAATTAAATTGCTGCATATGCAAGAACTGAAGTTCGAATTTATTTCTAAACTACTAAGAGATAACTTATTTCACTTTTCTTTTATTTTTTTTAATAAACACTTATTGCAATTTTCTAATCTTACAAGAAATCAACTTCGTAAGAAGTTTATCATAGACGACTTGTTTTATTTCTTTTAATACCCAGGAAAGCTTTTTCTATTTTTGTGTAATATCTTTAATGATATTGACAAAAAGTATCCTTTTAATGAAATTTTATTTCTTGGTTTTTAAGCGTAATTTTGAGATATATATATATATATATAATAAATTTAAGGAAGTAGAAAGATTGTGTGTGAAAATACTTGTTTTATTTAAAAAAAATTATTTACCCACATAATATAATCATGTCTCACACCCCTTTATATCATTTATTTGTCCTTGTCATCGAGAATGAGATTGGAACATATTTGGTTCCGAACCCAAAAAAAAAAAAAAGGTTGGGGCATATAGAAGATTTGCTCGAGTTTCCAAAAAATTTATCAAGGATAGATCTTTTGAAGTTGAGAATATGCAAATTTCATAAAATTTGTTTTTCAAGAAAGAGAGATAAGATTTTATGTTTTTAGTAAAAATAATAAAATTGGAAAATAATTAAAAAAAAAGAAAAGCTTCATCAGAATTCAAAAATCCCAACTTTAGAAAATTTACTTCCAAATTTATCTATTATAAATCAACTTAACATATGGTATATATGTCTCTGGCAATGAATAAACTTAACACTATGGTATTAAATATTAATTGGGATCTCTCTTTTTTCCATATACCCACTAGTTGATATGTTGCATATACTACAACAATATTAAAAAAGAAATTAAGATCTTTTTTAAGTTATGTGATAACCTGGATTTTTTTTCCGTGTTGTGTGTATTATATATATATATATATATATATTCATCTACAAAATGCCAGAGAGGTCTCCGAGTATTAATTTAAACGTTTATAATGTACCTTTCCAATGATTTTAGGTTTTTAACAGTGTCTACTTGTGATTAGAGAATGGTATAAAAGATCCAATAATAATTAAAATAAAAATAAATAAATTTACCAAATAATATTATAGTAACTTAATAGATATTTCTCCTACCAAACGGTCCAGTACGAGCCTTTGTTTTTATAAGAGCGTACAACTGTACAAGCCTTTGCTATGTGACTTCTTTTTTGGACCAATGCTCTCAAAATATAAATGGATAATGAAAATTTTAGTCTTTTAAGTTTATTGAGTTATTATTTAGTTGCTCAAATTTAATTTTTATCAATTTGATCTCTAAAGTTTTGTATCACTGTTAAAATATGATGACAACCATATAAATTAGTATTGATGGTAACCATATAAATTAAAAAAAGAAGTTTAACTATCTAGATATGAAAAAATTCAGAAATTTTAATAAACAAAAGAACAAAACATTTTATAAGAGACTATATTGATAAAAATTAAGTTAATTTCAAGGCTAATTTTTTTTTATTTAGCTATATACATGTGTCAAATTAACAATAGATTTTACACATTAAATTTATTTGAGAATGGATTCATGTTAAAAATTTAAAAGACTGACATGATAATTAAAAAAAATGAGAGGGACTAAATTGACAAAATTTAAATCTGAGGGACTAAATTAATGACTGCAACAAACTTAAAGAATTAAAAGTTATATTATCCCAAATATAAAATTACAACCTCCAAAATCTTTAAAATAATAATGATGATAATAAGATCAAAAGTTTGTGACTGCAAGAAATTAGTGGCGTGATCAGAGAGAAATGTTCCTTAATCATGTTAAATGACAAGGACAACGTGGGAGCCAGTGATTGGTTTCTTATGGACCAGTTCGTTGTTGGAACAGTACTAGGCTGCTAGCTAACCGTACGCGTCCCACCAAATAATTCCTAATACACATACACATATTTATTTAATTAATAATAATCCTTGTGCTCTCCGTCAATGTCCAAGTTTATATTGTCCTTGGCTTCTCAGAAGCAAGCAACCGCCATATAGAACGCACAGAGAAGAAGAAAGAAGAAGAAGAAAAAGAAGAAGAAGCAGCAGCCATCTTCATCATGTGCTGCTCTGAAGACTGTAGATGCAGGCCTCTAGGGTTTCTGCTAGGCCTTCCCTTTGCCTTCTTATCTCTCCTTCTCTCTCTTATTGGTGTAGTTATCTGGATCGTTGGGTAAGTATCTCTGGTTTTTCGATGATTCCTAAGCAAGCAAGTGAGTGTCGTTGGAATATTTCAAAACATCATTAGTAAGATTATGGATTAATGTTTTTCGCAGGTTGATATTATCATGTATATGCCCATGTTGTCTGTGTGTGACCATCATTATTGAGTTCGCTCTCGCTCTTATCAAGGCTCCAATATTGGTCATGGAGTGGTTTATCTCCAAGATTCCATGTTAGACATTTGGTGCAACTATGGCTCGATTACAGTCAAGGTATTAAAAATTTTGAATTGGTTATTGAATCATTCAAGGCACTGTTTTATAATTAAACTTGGTCGCAAACAAAACATTTCATTGAATGATTTATTAGTATAGCCAATTAAATTGACTCAATTTTTAATACTATGACTATAATCAAGAGTGTTCAAAGGGCATTGTATAGCTGAATTTTCATTTATATATTGTTTTTGTCCTAATTTTGTTGGATTGTTTTGTCCTAATTTTGTTGGATTGCTTTCATGTAGTCCACCTTAATTTTGATGTTGCGTTTAGTGATTTCTCTCGTTCGTTATACTTTATGACTTTTCACCTTTCCGTGAATGTAATTTAATTCCTTTTTTTTTTGTCGTTTAATTATATTGCTTGTCGCCATAAGAAAGGAGTTAGAGGGAGCCTATGAAACCAACAATTTTTTTGAGAGAATGACCAATAAATCTCAAGATGGTCAATTAATTCAACTTGAATCTCAAGTGTAAAATTTCATAAATTTACAAGGTGGTTATCAATTTTATAATTTTATTATGATGAATTTGCAATTTGTGTTTCAAATTTTAATAGGAAAAAAATTATTTATTTTTCAATCATATTAAAATTTAAAAAATAAGTTGTAAATTTATTACAACAAAATTATAAAATTGAGAGCTAAACTTGCAAATTCATGGAATTTGACACTTGAAATTTAAATTAAATTAATTAGTCGTTTTGGTACCTCTCAATTATTCTCCCCAATTTTTTTTTGCTGGAAAACAAATACAATTTTTTTAATAATGTACGTATATTGTTGTCATTATTTAACCATATCTCCATATCATTTAATTTCATTTTAATATGTGTATATATATATATATATATATATTTCAGAGATTTTGCGTAGGAGACATAACGTTTGGTGGAATCACGGAACCGTTTTCTTTAATTTCTTGTATTTTTAAATTGCCGTCCTGATTGAGGAGGCTGTAGAGACTATTATTGAATATTGATGAGAAAATTACATTAAAACATCATAAAAATTCATCGTTCATGTCACTAAAAGGCAACAGTTACTAAGATATCATTTGGGAAAAAATCCATCATTTTCATTTTTCTTTTTCCTTTTATACCTTTTTCTTTCTTTAATTAAGTTTTAGTCCTTTAATTAATATAACTATGATTTATATGGCCTTTATAATAAACGTCACACTCATATAGTTCCCATACATAATATTTCCAATTTTTTTATTTTTATTTTTATTTTTATTTTGCGTGAGTTCCGGTATGCCAAGTCTTTAATCTAAAATAATCTAGTCAGCAGTTTACAGAGTATATCTTTAAAAGCATGTTTGGCTGACCACTTGCCACAACGCTTTAGAAGGAATTTATCGGATATTATTATTTGAATGAACTACAGCAAAGTTGGTTGGCCAAGAAAAATTAAACCGAAGCTAATGAAGAACGTCCTAACAATGATTTTTTTAAAATGATTTTCCAGACCAATAAAAGTAGTTAATCCACCCAAAACAAATCCACTAATGGGCGTCAAATAATTTTTTACCGCACGTGACTAATGTCCCACGACTTAACGCGCCATCGTTTGCAGTATACGTATCTCCTTACCTCTCTGCTTTTAAAACAAAAAAAAAAAAAGGTGAGTTTAAATTTGGAACCACGTAAAAATGTTTATATATGACACTTGTATTTAAAAATGAGATTTAAATTAACACCATTGTAAAAAAAAAAATCAAGTACTTATTAATTGGATTAGCCTTCATCATTTGTTTCTTCCCGTCTTTATTATGACTAATAATTATAATTTATTTTTCTTATATTCATTTTTTAATGGCTTCCTGTTATTTCCTTTCGAATTATATATTCTTGGACATATCCATAGGAAGCCAATTTTATTTATTTCTGCACAATGTGATTGTGAGGTCTCCGGTAGATTTTTTTTCCCCACTGACGCTCCTATTGATATTATTAATGTAATGTAATCTTCCCAAAAAAGGCGACAAAACATTACATGAATAATTGAATAAATGTATTTGTTTAAAAATATATCATCTTATTTTCTAAATCAAAAAGGTTTTATTGTAATCTTAAAAAAAATCTTATTTTAAGTCATAACATTGGTTGCTTACTTGTAAGATTTGACCAAGTCGGTATAATTTATTTAAAATTTTATTATTGGTAAGCAAATTATTACAAACAAACTATTAGCATTAGCTGTTATTTGCTTCATAAAAAAAAGTGAGTTTTAGTTGTTCTTGATAAATGGGAGACTTTTTGAGCCCAACCCAAACTTGATCTCCTTTAAAAAAGGCCACAGTATAACTAACAAGGGTCCTGAAGAAATATTGATAAAATCAAAGTCATTTTCATATCCTTCTCCAATTTAAAAACTAATACCACGAAAAGGGGGAAAAAACACACGGCCTGTTTGGCAATATGCCTGGGAATTATTTTCTATTCTACAGAATAAAAAATAAAAAAAATTATTTGGTAATATTTTGTAAAAAGTGTTTTAAAAAATAAAAAAATAAAATATTATTTTGGAGAATAAAAAAATAGAAACATATTTTTGATGTTTTGAGATTATTGTTTTGAAAAATAAGAGATAATAAAAAATACTTATTTTTATTATTTTTTTATTTTCAGAACATGTTCTATAAAATATCAGTTTTCAAAAATAAAATAAAAATAGTTTCAAACAAGCATATAGATTTTGTATTTCTTCCCTCCCTCTCTCTCTATTATTGTTTTAACACTGAAGGGTGCCTGATTCAATTAATTAAAAAAACTAAATTAGCTTATTTTAGAATTTTGAGTTCAAGTCCTGAGATCTACTATCACATTAAATAAATATTTCAAAGGTATTTCAAGATATCCAAGAGGCTATATTGATAATAACAATTTTATATAATAGCAGTTCATATTAGTTTGGGAAAGTGGAGTGGTAATGTCTCCATATTTTTTAAGACATCGGGTGATAGAATTAAAAAAAAATCATTTTCTTTTGACCAACCAAACATACAACTTCACATAACAAGAGCACGTTCAACCTAATCATATATAGGCCAACAAAGTAGAAATCTTTTGAATACATATATTTGAGCAAATTACTCAGAAACCCATTAAATAATAATAAAGTCCTAACCGCAAGGTCGAAACTTGGTCCTTTGACGAGGGAAAAAAAAAAATGTGCTATCGGTGGATACGATGGATGCATGGAATTCAAAAAGAGGCTTCAAAAGGTTTACAAACGAGGATTTTCAAGTCAAATTTGTAATATACATATATTTATATATATATAATAACAACGAGAAAAGAAGAGATCAAGACAAAGAAAAGAACACGTACCTCTTCAATTATTAATTTCTTTTTTGTTGTGCATTAACTATTTGTTTCTTGTTTGATTGTTCCATTTTCGCCCATTAAATAGTATGTTTACTATGAGTAGTGGTTTGTACTGGGGTATTGTATGCGTAATCCTTTCTGATAACTTTTTATGGTTCTCTCATTTAAAGAAAAAAAAAAAAAACTCAATGTGGTTCTTTTTGTGTGTTGACAAAACTTGAGTTTCGACTAATTATGTGTAATGATTTGATGGTTTTCTAGAGATGAATCATGAACCTAAAAGACGACATTGCGAACATGTTAAAATTAAAAAAAAAATGCAATGAAAAGGAAGTGTTTTAAACATATAAGTAATAAGAATTGAAATATAAAATGATAATAAAAAGGGTAAAATTGAAATTAATATTCTCTTTTAACATTTCTCTATATATATTGATTTGTTTATAAACATCGTCTTGAATTTTAAATATTTAAAAACTATTAATTATCACCTTTAAAATTTATTTCCTTTTTTATTCGTATCCACTAGAAATGTATATATATGAGGCGCAATTTTAATATATTTTGTTTTTAGATGAATAAGAGCATGAATCATGATAGATGATTCCGTTTGACATGGTTTTTTTTTTCAATTAATGATATTAAAAATTAAAATTAATTCAAGGATATAAATATAATTAAGTCATAAAATATGCAAACAGATGACTGAACATTTTTAAAGTGTAAAGGGAAATTTATATATAAGCATATAAACTTAACAGTTCATTTATATTTTCGGAGCCATACTTTAAAATTTTGATTCATGCACTTGCCTGATATTAATAATAAAAATTGATTGGTCAACAAATTGTTTATTAATGTTGTCTGCAACAGTGTTTCACACTTCTATTACATATTAGATATTACATAAAAAATCGATAGGTCAAAAATTTCCTTTTTTTTTTTAATAAAAGACAAATGTATCTACTATCTCTAGATTTTTTCTTTTTTTCCATTATTACTTTTTGGTTTTTTTTTTTTGTCATACCATATTACCCCTGCCTCTGCCTATAGTTCAAGCATGTATGTCGGAGTGAATAAACAACGCCGTTAACTCGACAGGAAACCGAAATGAAATGATTATGGAAACTCTTAAAGTTTATTCCTTAAATATCAAAAGAAAAATATTCATTCCTAAAAATATTTTTGTTAATTTTTCTTGTTCTTTCAATTGGATCTCAAATTCAAATCGTCCGAGATTGAACTGCAACTCAACACTCTCTAATTTAACTGTCATTCTCAATTTCTTCAAATTTCTTTCAATTTTATCTTAAAATAGGTCTAGTGCCGTTATGTGTGTCTACTACACATACACGCCCCAATAATTGAAAGGAAAAAAATATATCTAGGAAATTTACTTGAAAATTATTAAGATAGGCCAGGTATAAGGGTGATATGTGTTTCTACACTCATCCACACACATTTTAAAATTAGTTATATTATAATGTTAATTTTTGGAAATAACAATTTAAATCAACCTAATTGTTAGACCATATATTTGAAAAAAAAAATTACATCTAAATTTTTCATAACTCCATTAAACATCATGACATCCATTGAAAACTTAATAAAGTGACAGCTAAAATAATTGCTGTTTTACTATACTCGAATATCCAGAGATATTGTAATATTTAATTATCTTGTGGAGAACCTAAATGTGATTCTTCCTATATTTTTTTTACTGTAAAATTGGAAATAAAACGTTCAAATTAGATTTGATCCTTTGGATTTGGGAGGTTAGTAAAATATTATTTCAGATTTCGCATAAAATTCACATTATAACTTTAAATTTGATACGCATTTCTTAAAATATTTGTAATTTGTAATATGTAATTTTTTAATCTTATTTCTATATATAAGAAGTTTAATATCAAGTGATGTTATTAAGTTGCTGATAACATTCACCCCAAAAGAATTGCTAATAACAGATGGAATTATATTCATTATATTTTATAAAATTGATAGCTAAAACAGTATACGCTTTGAATAAACAATTATAAACTTAATTAATCCGCAGCATTAAAAAACGAATTATTGATATAATGTGATTGCCAAGCATGATCCAAACGTTTTTCAATGATCGATTTGGTGATTTTAACAATTAAAAGCAAAAGGGAATTAAAAATATTTTAAAGATTGAATATAAAATTAATCAACATCAACAATCAAAATAATTTTTAATGGGTTAATCTGTAATTTGAATTCTAAGTTATAGATTCAGCGAGAATTTGAATCCTAAATTTATATTTAGTAAGAGAGAGGGGGGAGAAAAAGGGAAAGTAAAATTTGAGAAAATGCCTATTAATTTTTTAAAAAGTGAGATTTGATTGTAATTTTTTTTAAAGGAAAGTAGGAGGGGAAAGGAGAGTAAAATTTAAAAAAAAATGACATATTAAGTCTCTTTTTTTTTAAAGCAATA